TGAAGTTTTAAGCTGGATATGTATGTAGAGTGAGTGTTTACAATGTAATGTATAATATGATCTTATTAGCGGCACTGAAAAGATTGTTCTCCAGCCAGGACCATTTGTATGCCTACGTAGTGTAGATTCTTGTATACAACATTCGAATATTGTTTGGTTTGAAGTTTACGATTATTTTACTCGGCACTTAAAATAGTTGCTGTTTAAGAATAAACGCAGTAAAACTAAAAAAGATCGACATTTTGTAATATTTGTGAATTATTACTAGAACGCTTGCCTGACAGTAAGAAAGGTCTGTCAAGGGAAATACGTCATTTGGAAGAGACGTATTATCTGCAGGTGAGTAAAATTAACAAGAGGAATAACAAAAGGAAGGCGGCGGTGGCGCAGTGAGCGCTCCCTAGTGACATCAACTGCATACTTCCGCAGTTACCTTGACTGTGGTACGATAATAATAGGAGGGATACGATAATTGTGGAGGATGATACGATAGTTATAGAATGGGTAGTATAATGAGTTCACTGTTCACTCTCCTGGTGTGATTTACTATACTTTAAAACACGTTTTTCTAGTACAGAAAGCGCTCCTAAGCTGCATAATCTGTAGACTTCTAAAGTTACCTTGACTGTGTTACGATAATAATAGGGCGGATACGATAATTGTGGAGGATAATACTATAGTTATAGAGTAGGTAATATTAGTACTTCACTCCACTGATGTGGTTTACTTTACTTTTTTTCTAGTGCAGAAAGCGCTCCTAAGCTGCATAATCTGTATACTTAAAAAGTTACCTTGACTGTAGTACGATAATAATAGGATGGATACGATAATTGTGGAGAATAATACGATAGTTATAGAGTAAGTAATATAAGTACTTCACTCCACTAACGTGATTTACTTTACTTTAAAACACGTGTTTCTAGTGCTGAAAGCGCTCCCAAACTGCATGATCTGTAGACTTCTAAAGTTTCCTTGACTGTGATATTCATACTATAATTTTGGCGAATGATACGATAGTCAATTGTAAATTAAGGTTTCTATAAGTGAAGTAGCATAATAATTTATGAAGAAGTTTGTCGTGACACAGCGAGTGCTCCCTATATAGTACCTATCTTAGTGGTTATTACTACTTCATTGTACTGTATACCACTTCACTGCATGATTTTTGCCATCCACAACATTGTATCCATTCTTGTAAACTGGTGTAAACCGTTGGGAAATAAATAAATAAATGGTGGCATAATATGCTAACTTTTGCAGTTATCTTGGTTGTGAGTTAAGGGGTGTGATACGATAGTTGCAGGAGAAAAAAATTATGAGTGCATTTTTTTCTGGTTTGATGTACAACAATTTAACAAACATGTTTATTATCATCACAATAAATGGCACGATCCTTAAAATTGAATACCAATGTTGCTTTTATTATACAGTAGGGTATTTTAAGCTGAAATCAATTATTAAATTAGTTTATTGTAAGAAACACAATTTATTTAAGAACAATTATTAAAATTTATATCATCAAGGAATTAAGCAGTATAATAGTATCTATATTATTACAATAATTTGTTGAATTTTTGTTTGCAGTAAATTGACCCGTGAATATTTATTTTTATAGGCATACAGTATTGGGTATCAATTTAAAGCTCTTATCCTCTAGATGTTCCTTTTGCAGGTTTGGATGATACCTCGTTTACTTTAAATTATAATTTGTAGGGTGGTTATTATAAGCCTACGAGATTTTAGTCTAATTACAAACTTTTATTAATGAATATATCATTTTTCACTATTCTAACTTTTAGTGCAAGGAGTTCCCTGATGAAGCGAGGTTTCCTTATTTGTTTTGTAGATAAATAGGTATAAGGTGGGCTCTTGACGGTAAAAAAGAATATTGACTGGCGGGATTCGAACAGAAATCTCCAGGGCTTAAGTCCCGTATTGTAACCATTTGACTAGTTGCAATCCTATTGGCCTAGTATATTAGCTACTATTTTCAGCCTTACTGCAATAACAACTTAATGGCCAGACTAGTCAATGTATGACTACTAAATAAATATATTTATGTGAAATAAGTTTAATGTAAAATACAATCATGGCATAACTTTAAAATTACGATATCATATTGAAAAATGTGCTTGGATTGCTCGATATATCATTGACGTCAAGTTTACTAAATGATTGATCGGGTTTCAACTCTGTTTAACTTTTACACAAACTGACATTGATGCCAGATTAAACAATCTGTTTGAATAAAACCTTTAGTCATGGAAAGAACTAAAAAATTCTATGTTAAAGTTAAAACTAGTTTTAGAATTAAAAGTATCGTAGTTAAGTTTAGGCTCCGACAGAGTTTACTGATGATAAAACTATTTTTTTGTTGTATATATTAACTTCTTTAACAAAACACGTTGAAAGGACAACTTATTGTAAACTACAGCATCTTTCAGGTCGCATAAACTCGATATAAACGGGAGCTAACATTGACACAGGCTTATCTATGTTTCAATATCATTGCATCATTCAAATAATATAAACTATTATAGCATAAAAACAAAACAGAAGGGAAATTTTTATTTTTGCATGCTTTTTCAGCTATGTTCTTTTTTAGTACATAATTCCCTACAAGTTATCAACATGGATAGTATGTCCCCATGGTACTAAATATTCAATGATTAAACACTTTGATAAATTGTGCATGACATTTTTATAACAATAAAAATACATATCAGAATCATCATGCGAAATATGGCGGTATTATTTTTATTAAACACAAAAAAATAGTTCTGTGGAAACTTAGTGCTATCTTAATGCTATCCTAGTTCTTAAACTCTGCTAAGAAACATAATTACGTGTGTTGTTTGTATCCTCCTAAGCCTTACCTTGATTTAACATGCACAAATCCTGTAAGCAAGCATCAGTCTCAGATTGCGTGACATGGCATGTATGCGTGTGTGAGTGTACGTGTGTATGTTAGTGTGAGGGTGTAGTAAACAGCACAAGTGGCCACGGATAAATAATGTAATAATTATGATGGCTGCGAGGAGCGTGTAAAAGACTACAGAGCTGCATGCATAATTCGCGCGCCTCTCTTGACTATTGACATCTTTAACCCTTCTGCTCTCCCTCCCTATTTCTAGCACTCTCCTACTCAAGCTTTCACATTTTACAAAATATTTACTTTTAAACAAATCGCAACTTATTGCAAAGCTTGTTGGGAGTTTTAATTGTACGAGGCTTGAATTTGTAAATTACATCTTGAATTAAGGGATTAAAGGGATCTTGAATTAAACTCTTTATGTCATTTGGCTCGGGTTAGAAAAATTACAATTATTTACACATAAGATGGATACTTGAAAATAACCCCAACTCAGTGATAGTCTAGTAATTGGAATAATAATCTTTGCATACTTAAATACCCGCTTACTTGGGCACAAGCCTCCTTATCCATTGTTACATTTAGCTAATAATTATATTTAGCATACTAAAGTGCCCGGTTAATTGGACACACGCCTAGTTATTATTGCATATTTTATTCTAAATGGTTAATATTACCTGGCTTTGTCAAGTGATCATGCTTCACGAAGCCAGGTAACATAAACCATTTAGCTTAAATTTGGTGATCCAGAGGCTACCTCACCATATTATATTCATAGTTATATTTATCTAATCATTGCCTGGTTACTTTAACACAAGCCTACTGATTGTCATATATATTAGTCATATTTATATTTAAATAATCATACTAAGGTACCTGGTTACTTGGACACAAGCCTACTGATTGTCATATGTGTTAGTCATAGTTATATTCATCTAATCATACTAAGGCGACCGGTTACTTGGACACAAGCCTACTGATTGTCATATATGTTAGTCATAGTTATATTTATCTAATCATACTAAGGTGCCCGGTTACTTGGACACAAGCCAACTGATTGTTATATATGTTTGTCATAGTTATATTTATCTAATCATAAGGCGACCGGTTACTTGGACACAAGCCTACTGATTGTCATATATGTTAGTCATAGTTATATTTATCTAATCATACTAAGGTGCCCGGTTACTTGGACACAAGTCTACTGATTGTCATACATGTTAGTCATAGTTATATTTATCTAATCATACTAAGGTGCCCGATTACTTGAACACAGGCCTACTGATTGTTATATATGTTAGTCATAGTTAGTTATATTTATCTAGTCATACTAAGGTGCCCGGTTACTTGGACACAAGCCTACATATTGTCATACATGTTAGTCATATTATTTTTATCTAGTCATACTAAGGTGCCCGGATACTTGGACACAAGCCTACTGATTGTTATATATGTTAGTCATAGTTATATTTTTCTAGTCATACTAGGGTGCCCGGATACTTGGACACAAGCCTACTGATTGTTATATATGTTAGTCATAGTTATATTTATCTAATCATACTAAGGTGCCCGGATACTTGGACACAAGCCTACTGATTGTTATATATGTTAGTCATAGTTATATTTATCTAATCATACTAAGGTGCCCGGTCAATTGGACACAAGCCCACTGATTGTTATATATGTTAATCATAGTTATATTTATCTAGTCATACTAAGGTGCCCGGTTACTTGGACACAAGCCAACTGATTGTTATATATGTTAGTCATAGTTATATTTATCTAGTCATACTAAGGTGCCCGGTCAATTGGACGCAAGCCTACTGATTGTTGTATATTTTATTCATAGTTATATTTATCTAAGCATACTAAGGTGACCGGTTACTTGAACACAATCCTACTGATTGTCATTTATATTATTCATAGTTATATTTATCTAATCATACTAAGGAGTCCAAATACTTGGACACAAGCCTTATGATACTCTTTTATGCATTGTTATATGTTAGTCATAGTTATATTTATCTAGTCATACTAAGGTGTCTGGTTACTAGGACACAAGCCCACTGATTGTCATACATGTTAGTCATAGTTATATTTATCTAATCATACTAAGGTGCCCGGTTACCGCAAATTTGCCGTCCCAGACGGGCAAGTGGCGCCCTGTGTCCACCTTGTCCTCGTAACTTTCCGCCTCGTAATCGAATTTCACCTGCGGACAAAAATGTCCATAAACTCTTTGTTTAGGATTCAAACACATTAATTTAGTATGCTAGGTGTCTCCTTATTATAAGATCCGAATTATTTGCTTGTCCCGACATCGTATACAGGATGTGAAATGTACAATAATTGAGTTTGATTCGGAAAAAAGGTAAATGTTACAATATTTAGTAATTTGTAGTACGAATAGTTTATTACATTACTAAAAATAATATCTGGCTTTTTATTAACTTTACTGTTTTACAATGCAAATTACTGCAAGAAACTAAACCCACAATAATTGTCATATTTACCTTAGGTGTCATTGCTAGATTAAGCTTTAGACCTAATACTAGACCGTCAATACCTAATAAATGTTGATTTTTACAATAAAAAATTAAAAATGTTTTATTGTCTTTGATGCAACTAATTTGAGTAATATACATTAAAAGATAACATTATGTATATAGTACATACACTTTTATTAATATGTGCTTATTTTTATTTTGGTTACTAAGCGTTAAGTAAAATTATTGACGGAGGAAGTATTCAGCGTATCTTGTTTATCTCATATCCAGACATTCAAAGATCAATAGCGTGTGTATTTTTTATGACGACAGTGTTTGCAAATGTGTTAACACTAAGATCACAATTTCCCCGGTTCTGTCGTAGGAAATGTTATAGTTATTATGTCAATTATCACCCAGTTTGAAAAAAGATTTAAAGTGACCGTAAGTTTTGATATTCGGAGGAGTTTTTATTACTTCAAATACCTAGCTAACAATAATAAAACTTCACAATTGCTTATATTTTGTTAGGCACCATATAAAAAGATTTGAAGTAATGCAATTTAACATAACAAACTTTTTTTAGTTGAGTTATTATATCATTTTGTAAAATATTACATGCTCTACATCATAAGATTGAGTACTTTAGAAAACCTATTCTTAGAAGACGAATTTGAAATTTTTGTAAAACCTAATGTTAATTAATAGGTTTAGTTGGACACCATTCTTAAAAAATATTTGCCACTACAGAAAATAACAAAAAATATGATATTACATAGTAAACTGACAATACACTTTTGTCAATAATAAAATTAATATTTCTCCACAGGAGTTCTAATCAAGTTATTGGATAAAAAAATATAATAGTAATGAGTGTTGCACTTTTTAACATAATTTTTGTAGTAAAACCAGACCAATTGTGGAAATACGGATTAAGCTTTAATTCTTCTGTGGAATTACAAACATGGAATCTATTTCAAAGCTGCATAATGACCAGGAAATTAAAACTAACACTGGATATTCAGAAAATCCCTTTTAAACTGACAATTAACTTTATTAAAAATTATAATTTTTACCGAATCACGTAGGCTTGACTTTGATTAGAAATGTTTGCCCGATTACCAATCATATTATCAAAGCCAACTGTGGCGTCCATGCATTAAATATCAAATAAACTCGAGGTAATTGGCAAAAATAGACAGTTATAGTGCGCCAGTCAGATTTTATTAGTAGGGCTTTTGGAAAACCGCCTAGAAAATGGAATGTGTGATTATTTTGTCACTGAGAAGGTTTGATGGGTTAAACCCATGAAATTTTAAAAAGTTTATCTTTTATATAAAAGGGTTTTGCTTGATATTTTTATAATAAGCTTTAAAACAAACAGATTCAGTAACCACATAACATTTTATGATAATTAAACTAAAATTTAAATGTATTTTGTACCACTTCCTTTATTTCATTCTTCCGTGGTTATATACTAATTTTGTTCTTAATATTAAGAACAACAAAACTATAAAGTAAAGCTATAAATACCGATGGAGGATGGAGAATTTCAGACCAACATACTTTTGGAAGCAGGTAGGCTTAAGTGAAATAAATACAAATAATATTCATAAAATATTTTAAAATATATAAAAAAAAATATTCTGGACATACTCTCATTGCAAGTTCATGTAATGTTCAGCTCTTTCATACACCCGTATACAATTTGTAGCTTATGGAAAATAATACCAATATTACCTCCACATATTAGATTGAAAAGAACATCACATTTGGAAATGAAATGTTTATTTTAACTTCAGAAAAATTGTCAGTAGAGTTTTGAGGTTTTACAAGGTTTCTATTTTTAGGAAAACCACAAACTCGTAGTACCTAACATATATAAATAGCGTTCCTTCCACTCACTAACTCACAATATTTCCAGTAGTTTTCAATAATTTTACTGTTACCAATTTTAGCGAATCCACAAAAGATGGGAGAGTTATCTTTTAGTAAAAATAAGTGGTTACTATTTACTGTATTCACTATGTAGCCCTAAAAAGGGGGTTTAATAATATTGTTATTGGCTTTTAACGAAAAAGACCTTCATCTTGTACACTTTATATAAATCTCCTCTGTACTCCCCCTTGCCTATCTCTAATTAGAAAATAATTTTCATTGCAGCTATAATTTTAAGTCTAATTAAAGTTTTGGTTTAATTTTAATTTTTTTTAAATTGTATGATTGCTTTTTATTCATTTTATCAATACATTTCTTAACACAATCAAGAAAGCTAGCTTTGATCGTGTTAAAACCTTTCAATAGAGATGTATAATATAACGCCCAACATAATTAACGTTGACCAATGACCATAGCGTGCAAGTCACACGAAACAATCCAACACAGGCGCCGAAACACGCGTAGACTCGCACCATTTAATTATTTTAATTCATAAAATATTCAATCCACCCCTTATCTTAGTGCAATTAATTCCTACAGTAGGCCAAGCACTCATTCATTAAGCTCAATTCGTTCAGTATACGAATTACCAAGACCTTGTCATGTGGCATAATCGTTTGTGTGAGAAAATAAAGAATACTTAAACATTTGCTTAGAAAATGTGTGTAGTAATCCTTTAATAATCCATTCTAATCATTACGAGTTCAAATATGACCATAATTAACTGTAGGTGAGTGGTTTTAGTGCTTGCCTGGCAACCAAAAAGTTGCCTGTTTGATTCTGAAAAAATCACCAGCTTTTTGGGCTTTAATAAATTATTAGTAACAAAGCTACGCAATTCATCTATTGTTTTCTACTACTGCTAACCATGCTGTCGTATTTAGACTAAAATACGCACCAAGGTGTGCGTTGCTGTCTTAAAGTAATGATAATGAAATGTATTTAAGAAGTTTGGATTGCTTAAAAACTTAATAAAGGGAATAAAGGGGAATAAAGGGAGAATAGTTTGTATACTAGCAACCGCGCTGTTAAATCTCATATAATCAATGTAATTACACCAATGTCACATAACCCTAATAAAAGAATGTTCCACCACATACATCTTGAGTGACAATTTTCTATTGACATTCTAACGTTGAAATGTACGAGATTTCTTAGAACTGTAACCATTATCTTACTACGGTACCACAAAACCTTGTATACTGTACACTTGAATATGTTTGAACAGTATAAAAATAAATTCCCAATACCACTATTACGATACTTGTGTTTACTAATATATTGATCACTACAAAATAGACTATTATTTTGTGTATTTCAATTTTTTTCTAATACACAATTTGGTGCTGTTGAAAATAAAACTATTTAGAATTAATTAAGCTCAGAAATACTTTTTAGTGATTTGAACTATCATATATTAAAGGTATATCCTTTTAAATATAACTTCTCCTTAAATTACAATTAAGAGTGATTAAATCTGATAAACTACAATAGTTAAGTTAAAGAAAAGTCAGCAACAAGTATTACATTTTTTTACGTATACAATGTCCGTATAACAATTTTTCTATTTTGCGATTACAAAAATTCGCCATCATTTTTCGATGTAGTATTTCTACTAAAACACTTTTGTAATAAATACAAAAAAATGTACTCTGCCAAAAACAATGTTAAAATATCATCAGAGTTTACATTAGGTTACGAAACCTAAGTATTTCCCTATTCAGTTCAAATTGCATGTCTTTAACAGTAAAAAGCAAACAAATATGAGTTTACAACAGAATTTCACCCCTTAATAAGCTCAAGCCTCAAGTCCTTAACAGCCAAAAGCTACTTATCATTCCGGAATGAAAATCAAATGTAAAATGGCGGGGCGCGGCTTGGCGGCAAAGTGATATGAAAGAGTGAGCAGAGCGAACATAACGCGATTAGGATCAGCTGATTAACCGGATGTGATCCGCCAATATCCGGTTACCGGGGATTACCGGATGGTGCGATTTCTATTCGTCATTCCCTAAACATCACCGGATTTGATTTCAACTAGTTGTCAACAGTTGGAAACACTATCATGCTTATCGGCTGGCCGAAGCTGTTTAAAACGTTGTATTGCATTAAACGGATAACACATTTTTGTATTGTTTCAGTTATTGTTTAAATTTACGATACTTTTTATCGTCGAGAATCTTTCCTTATGGACTTTTATTATTTGTGAAGTAGATTGGTTGAGTCTAGGGGTTTCTGCTAATTACCCTAATCCAATCTGTGAAATCATCTTTCACACATAAAGCTTAGATATAAAACAGAAATAAATAAATAGTGAAACTTTATTTTCAATGATAAACAATTTTTTTTCCTAGGACACTAGGCACGAGCCCGGAATTGTTTTTCACATTACTTCAGGGTAGACCTAAGGGTTACGGCATTATCACTTAGATAAAATCCATTGGTGATTGGGCGGAATTTGAACCCGGGACCTCTGGAACCGGTCCTACGCTCTTACCACTAGACCAGCTCGCTCCCCCAAGCTGCTCCCCCAATGATAAACAATGAACTGATCATGTTTACAAATATTATATAGGAACATTTGTTATTTAGTTTTCCTCTAACACAATCTGGCCGATTTGATGATTGACATCACGGAACGCTTTGAATTTCTTACATCGCCGGTAACTTAGCTTGGAATATAATTTTATAACAGTTTCATTTCAGTAGAATAGTTTATGAAGTTCGTCTAAAACGGATGTAATTTTTAAGCTCTTTCCAGTGCGACAAAATATTATTTCTCATGAAC